AAAAAAAAAATTCTGGATTCTATACAAATCCTATCGAGTCTCATTCATATTTGAAAATTTAGAATTTTTGTGAATCATCCATACAGCACGGAATATTGCAGCGATATTTAACATCGTTGCCGCAATATCGCTGCAATTTTCCGGGTATCTTGACGAGGTTTTATCCACGAATTTCCAATTCCACAAACCATCGACGGACGCGACAATCGCCCGAATACTTGCCCGTACCAAGTAGATTGATAGAGGGAGCGTTGACGAAGCAACGCCCACGACACAAACCAACAAGAATCCCGCGATATCCGACGCGTTAGCGTAGCCGTGATGGATCGCGGCACCTCTAGCCTCACGCACGCCGCGTTCTCGTTCGCCGGCGCGTGTCCGCGATTGGGAAAAATCGCGGTTCCGGCGGAACGTGTTCGAGGAGGGCCCCGAAGCCGGCGCGGAGAGGTTCGCCGCGGCAGCGAGGTCGATGTCCGGGCGCAACAAGTGCGCTCTCGAGATGCTCTCTCTCTCTCTCCCCCCCTTCCCTCCCCCTCCCTCTCTGCCCCCCGTCCCCCGTCTTTGGCGTTCGCGATCGGCTTCGATAAAGCCGCGCGCGACTTTCGACGAGCTCTTTCTCTCGCCGCGACCACCGAGTGATGGTCGACCTCCGAAATGCGCTCTCGCTCGCTCGTGCACGGATTTAGAGGCGACCGTAAACGAGAGCGCCGGAAGCCGAACGACCTTTTTGAGGTTGCGCCGCGGCGCGCCAAGTTTTCTCGCTCGAGAGAGACGGAGAGAGACGGAGAGAGAGAGAGAGAGAGAGAGAGGGAGAGAAGCCAGCCAGTCCGACGCGCGTAGCGATGCTCAAGTGCGACGGAATCTTTTTTTGCCCCTCGTATCGCGAACGTCGACATGTCTCGCACTTTTTCGTCTCTTTGCGAGCGCGCATTCCGTATGCCGATCGATGACGAGAGCAATCGCGACGAAATGCTGATGAAAAATAGCCTCGACGAGGGTACGAAGCTGCTGAGGAGATAACTATGTAAAATGTATACAAGTACGATTTTAACAGAGAGGCTGCAGTGTGTATTGCAGGAAGTCGGATGTGTATTTTCGATACGAGTTTCTGAAATTATACGAGCTTCAAATGTTCTCTCTAAAGATTCTTCTAAAAGAAAAACGATATTTTAGGTCGAATAATTATAATATATTTTTATTACATAATTTATAATAATGTAAATGTTTATAAATTATAATATATAAATTATAATTTTTATTATAATTAATAATATGTTAATAATATTTTTATATATATTTTATATATATTAATGATATTTTTATTATAATTAATAATATTGTATAATTTTGAGGATCTTTTTAATTTTAAGAGACAGACACCATCTTAAAAAGACACCGCATTAAAAAAATTATAGAGCGACTTAATTCCCGTCTCTCCGGAGACGACGGTCAGTCGTTGCCAAAAGGCATCGATATTCGGACACTATCGGACATAATCGCGAGCATCCCTAGACGCGTCGCGGAGCCTCGAGTTGAGCGCAAGAGGTCGACGTCCGGGCGCGCAACAAGTGCCGCGCTACGTACACGTACACGCACACACGTTCGCACACATTATTGCCTCCTCTCCCCTCTCTACACACACACACACACACACACACACACACACACACACACACAGCAGCCCACCACCCATCTCGCTCGCTCGCATAATCGCATGACCACCGCAGCGCCCCCCCTCCCCACCCCCTCGAGAGGAGGCATCCCTCCCTCTCTGTCTCTCGCTTCCTTTGCTTCTCTTTGCGCGACCGAGGGAAGGAGGGAAACGACGAGAGAAGATTCGAATAGAGGTGTGGAATAATAAAAGAGAGAGAGAGAGAGAGAAAGAATTGGCGTGACCGTGCACCTCTCCTCGCACGCACCCCACGTCGTCGGTAAATATAAAACTGCACTGGGTCAGGGATCCGTGATTTATCGGCTGCCTCGTGTAATTGGCCGCCGGCCAATAGATGTATGCCTCCCCCCCCGGGGTGTGTGCGTTGCGAGAGCCCGGGGCCGAGAAGACGCTACTTGCGTGCCGTCCAGCATCATCTCTCCTCCCCCCCACCCCCCACCCCGCTCATCCGCGCCGCTCATTTCCGTGCAATAATCTCAAGCATCGATTACATTTCCATCTTCGTTTCTGGAATCGGTTATTCGATCGGAACTCTAACGACGAAAGAAGCGTTTTATTATTATAGCGCGTTGCGATGAATATCAATTCGTGCGAATCGGCCGTGATTATGAGATTTTCTCAAGGAGATGGAACTTTTCGATTTGTTGCAGCAATTATCGCGTTAATTTCCTCCCAAGATTCTAACGTGAACGTGAATATCAAGGATGTAACTTTAGTGCGTGCGTTTAATAATGATGGAAGAATTTTAATCTTTAATGATTTGACACGCAAGAAACGATATTTTGTACATTTAGCGAGAATGCCTTTTATATTCTGGGCTTTATAAGTGACAATATATTATTTCGAATTTTCCTTACCGTGCTATTAGCCCGGATATATGTAGAGACTTCAAAGAATTATTACCTCAAAGAAAGAAAAAAATACGTGCTCATATGGTACTTACATAGCACGTAACTTTTTATAAAACAAGTTCATAGATCGATAATAAATTATACTTTCTCTCTTTCTTTTTTCTTCGCTCTTATTTTCTAAACGCGATCAAAATATTTTCTGGCCATACACGTTCGACTTTTTTGTTATTGTGAAAATTTACAGCGATTTTCCGTATTCCTGATGCATTAAATATCGAAAATAGAAGTAGTTTTTCACCAATTGAAAAATATGAGCGAGATTTAAAAATGCGCGAAGATAAGATGCCAACAATAAATGCGAATTAGATTCTAGATGAAATCTCGTAAAAAATTCCCCTTCATCGGGAAAGTTGACCGAAAAATTTCTCGAAATGTCTCTCCCGCGGATTTCGTCCTACAAAGTAAATTCGAAATAATATCCTCTCGTATACAGGGTTGGGCAAAAGTCCGGAAACGGTCAAATATCTCGAAAAGGATCAACTATAGCGAAAAATTGTAAATAGCAAAGTTGTAGGGCTTAAAAAAATGTACCTAATGATGACTAAAAATTTTACTTTGAGTGGAGGACGAAGATCATATAAAAGTCAAATTGAATTTTTTAAATGGAACTGCCTACTTTTTATTGCATATTCTTGTAGCTTATCTCGAGAGCTTTCCAAAACATTATAATTAAGTACCTTTTTATTAAGTACTTTTTGAGTTATAAGGCTTGAAATAATTTCTTAATTTTACATAAACCATAAAATATCTAGTAAACCATTCATTTTTTGATTATCTTACCTTGATACTTTTATGTACAAAATAATGAGAGGAATCAATTGGTGTAAAGAAAACATATAGTTGTTGCATGGAATTGTTAATTGCAAATTACATATTTTTTCTTAGAAACAACTATGTGTTTTCTTTACACCAATTGATTCCTCTCATTATTTTGTACATAAAAGTATGAAGGTAAGATAATCGAAAAATGAATGGTTTACTAGATATTTTATGGTTTATGTAAAATTAAGAAATTATTTCAAGCCTTATAACTCAAAAAGTACTTAATAAAAAGGTACTTAATTATAGTGTTTTCGAAAGCTCTCGAGATAAGCTACAAGAATATGTAATGAAAAATAGGGGGTTCCATTTAAAAAATTCAATTTGACTTTTATATGATCTTCGTCCTCCACTCAAAGTAAAATTTTTAGTCATCATTAGGTACATTTTTTTAAGCCCTACAACTTTGCTATTTACAATTTTTCGCTATAGTTGATCCTTTTCGAGATATTTGACCGTTTCCGGACTTTTGCCCAACCCTGTATAAAGTTACCACAATATAAAAGATATTCTCTCCAAATAAATAAAATATCGTTTCTTGCGTGTCAAATCATTCAAGACTAAAATCGTCTTGCTTAATCGTTATTAAACGTGCAAGTTATACTTTTGCAATTCGTTTTGCGTGGATCTTAAAATCAAAATTAATTCGTAATTCGTAAGAAGGCAAGATTCGCAACGTTTTCGCATGATTGTTAAAGCGAGAGAGAGAGAAGGACAGACGGGGAAGGAAAGTGCAGCCCTTCTTCCTCTTTCTCTCTTTTTTTTCCCGGCAGGAGTACTCGACGTTGTAGACATCGCGCGGGGAAGTACGCGGGAAGGAAATATAACCGTGGAAGAGACGAAACAATAGGAAGCCGCCGACGGTCTCGGTCTCTCGTAGCGCGAGAAAACGATTGACGCACACTTTCGCGGAGGTCAAATTCCACGCGCGACTAATGCAGCCGCCGACTAATGTTGCGACGACCTTCGTGGTATTTGTCAGGCCGTAAATAAAGCGCGCGCCGGTATCTGGAATATACGAAGAGCTGGCGGATGTGATGGACAAGCGAGCCATTGGTAGGCGCGAAGACGTCGAACGATAAATTTCATTTTCGACACGGATCCTCCCCCCCCCCCCCCGGAGAATCCCGAGATCTGCGCGAGTCTCATAACAATTCAATATTGCAATGTTGGGATGTCTCTCGATCGCGAGATATCCGATTTTTCGAATACGATGAGCTCTAGAATTCGCAAGTTCGATGACAGGTTTCTCAATAATTTGGAGTAAACTGTTCTTTAGCGAAAGTATTATTTTTTTTTGCATAAAAATAGTATCGTCTTATTTTTCTACTTCGGTGAATGAAATCCTGTGTGTCAATTTTTTCAAAATTAATCAGATTGATTGGAGCAATTGAAAAAGTGTCGATAAGGGGATTTGCGGACTTGCGGCCATTAATTAATGTCAACGGCTTAATTGAAATTCGATATCGCGACGCCAACTTGTATGAATGAAGCCCTCCAGAAGCTGTACGATTGCACGCGATCGCCATCTGTCGCGAGACGCGCGAAAACTGCGAGTAAAATTGAGAGGCTCGAGCGATCCCTCGGAATTTTCTTACCTTGATGCGGTAAAAATCTCCGCCTCGAGGATGGTCCCGGGACGGTCGATTTGCTACTCTGAAATAGAAATAGAAGATGCGAGAATCGAACGAGTCTCGTTTGACATTACTTTCATTAGGAGCCCGAGAGATTATTTTTCTCTTTCATGATTAAAAATTTCACGATTTCAGATTTTTTATTCCACGAAGAAATTTTATTCCACGACTCAATTCATGATTACGCAGGTGCTAATTTTATTTTAATTTATATTCCATTAAACGCATTTTTCGGCTTATTTTGAATTACACAAATTTTACACAACGAATACTCATCTCCAGAGAGATTCTATATATAATTTCTAACTTTCTGGGATCTCTCTCAAAGATACTAGAATATATTCTAGGTATCCTGCACGTTACAGATTTAGTTGAACGGCTTTCAGGGATAGAGTCTATTCCTAAACCCAAGTTTCAAGTATCCTAGTTTCTACACGTTTCAGCTTTAACGAGTCTCAAAGTCTACGTGGCATTAAATTAGGTTATGTGAGGTTAGATTATTGCTCGGGCTCTTTTATGCTTTTTATAAATATTGATTTCGATTTCTAATGATTCATTGAATAATGTCGCGAGTTTTTCATATTTTAACACGTTTTGCATTTCGATTGATTGATTTATCGGAGATGTCGGCTCCCGCGGATGCGGGGTAGATATGACACATCGCGAGCACGTGGCGGGATACGCACTTTCGTCGACACGTGGATGCCCTTCAATACGGCCTCGAATTTCGAAACATTGTCGTAGGTCGGCGCCGAGGACACTAGTCGTGTTTTAGACGAATACAACGCTTTCAACGGATCGAACTTGTCACTTCCCGCATCCAAGCTCTCGTCCGACGTGTCGCTCTCGTCTGCCATCGATAAGATTACGCGGTTCACTGTCTGCACTTTGGCTCGAGTCGATAAAAGCCTACTGTGCATTTTATAAAATTAGTCCATTTTTTTTTGGGGCGTTTGAAAAAAAGAGCAAATGATGCAAAGCGACAAGCACAGAATATTGCAGCAATATTATTAAGGATGTTTTATACCTATTTTCAAACTATTGAGTATTTAAGGAAAATTGTACAGAATGTCCTTAGGTGTCTAGAATCTTCAGTATAATTTTTAAATCGATTCACTAAAGCGAATTCTCAAGTTATAAGGATTTTAATTTGCACCGAATTAACATGTGTTCTTATGGGAAACGTATAACCATGTCGATTCAAATGACAAAAACACGTGGAAATAATATTCAGAATTTGTTTAAAATTGGCAAAAGTTTAGACAGGAGGAAATATTTGGTCAAATAATATTATACGGGTACTAACTGGTTAAAAAGATATTAAATATAATTCAATAAAGTTAGCCATGTATCCGTCACAAGGCGAAATTCTCTGCCAAAAAGTTAATCATTTCGATTAACAAAATTCGGAATATTTCAGAGTAAAAACGCAATAAATATTAAAAAATACATCTCTGCACTGTAGCTAATTGTAAGATCAAATTGTAATATTCCACACAATTTCTCAAAATACACCAAAAGTCGATATTTATCAATATTGATTTTCAGGTACTTTTTGCTGGGATTGTACATACAAAATATCCTTAATGTTGTTATAAATTAGTATTGTTGAATCGCGTGAGGGATACGCGCGACTTCCTCGATTAGAAGAGGGGGGGGGGGGGAGAGAAAAATATATCCTTTTTTCTCGGTTTATTAACGCGTCGCGATAATATTAGCCGAGAGAGAAGAGGATGTTAACCTCTCCCCGCGCGGTGAAAACTTTCTTTCGCGGTTGCGAGTTACGTAAATGCGGCCGAGTAGAAGGTGCATAGAAATGCAACGGGGGCAGGGGGGAGAGAGGGGTCGCGGGAGGGGGAGGAGCGCGAGGTTACGCGCACAGGAAGTGAAACAGAAGCCAGAAAGAAAGTTCGCTCTCGGTGTTTTCACTTTCATGGAAATTGCCCGCACCCCTCCTCTTCCCTTCCCCCCCTCATCAGCCCTCTCTCTCTCTCGCTCTTTCTGCTGGCATTATGCGAATTAGCTACGAATCATCATCCGCTGCTCGCATCGATGAACAGCTGCCCCCTTCCCCTCCCCCTCCAAGAATCAAGCCTTTCTCACAAACCGGAACTTTTATTTAAAAAATGTTTTTTTTTTGCCTTAATATTTCTTCTCAGATCTGTCGTTTTTTCAATTCCTGATTATTTATATTTCCTGATTATATTAAATATCGCCCAAGTGCCTAAGTCTTCTGTCTTTTGATTTTGAGAAGCTATCTCTTGCTTTATAAAGATGTTGGAATTTTTTTTTTAATGTTATCGCACCCCGATGCATAGCGTGATTGTGACGGATCCGCAATATGAGAGATTCTTGCATTTCTCTTCTATCTTTCTACATATTACGTCTTGTATAACTTTATGCGGGTATACACAGGTGGTAAGAGAAAGTAACATTATCATCGAGTTACGTTTTTTTTCAGTCAAGTTTAAATTAGATTCCAAATGAAAGTACGAACTCCCGATGTACCGGAAGTCATTACGAGATCTCGGTTTCGCGACTAATTAATCGTTTTACTGAAAAAAAAAATCTTAATTTATCAAGAGAAAATGTGTGCCCGTAAGACATGTATCTGAATTATTATAGACATGTAACACACGCTTCTTGGGAACTTTAGATATGTATCATTTTCAGGGTTGGGTAAGTTTATATATTTTTTAAACTAAATTAAATTAAAGTTAATGAGTTAAAAAATCAATTTAGTTATGTTAAAAGTTATACAAATAAAAAATTAACTCAATAAAAATTACGTTAAGATTAAATTAACGTTAGTTAAGATAAAAGTTAAAATTTTGAAAAGCATTATTTCACTTTATATTAAATTAGATTGTAATTTTGAAATTAGATTACTCTAAATAATAATAATATGAATCATCAAATAAATTTGGGGGGAAAGTTAATAAGTTTAAGTTTATGTGTTTTAAAAATAACTAGTTAAAGTTAAAAGTTAAGTTGAGTTAAAAATTATTAACTTTTTAACTTTTTTTTTAATTTTTAACTAATCAACTAGTTAGTATCCAACCCTGATTATTTTATATCGCAAAGAAATATAAATTTATTCTGCTTGTAATATTTATTCTTCTTTAAACTTGAAGGAGTGTTATAATTATGCGCGTTCTTTTTTCTTTCGAAAATTTAACACATTTTATTTCATTTCCAGGCAAACGACAACGCGTAGGAAAAAGCAAGAGTCGTCCGGGCGCGGCTTGAAACGAAAGGAGAGGAGTCCCGGAGAGGTGGTTTTAGATGTTAGAAGGCGCGGGGGTGGCTAAAGTGGCCCCGCCGCCGGGTCCCGATGCCGGTCCCCGTATCGCAAACGCCTACATTGACCTCCACCCTCGTACCCAAGGAGGAATCAAACATGCCTTTCATAGACGACGAGCTGTTCTGGTACTCTGACAATGACGGAAAAATGGATCTGACCCAGTGCCTTCAGGTAAATCTAGCTTAATTTGCCTTTATATGATACAATCTCTCCTCCTTTCTCTCTCTTGAGGAAAACAATCTTAATTTATTAAATAAAAAAAAATCTTAATTCCTCAACTTTTAAATTTGTCAAGAGAAAATGTGTGTTTACAAGAACTGCATTTAAATTGTAGATATATAATGCACATATCTTGGGAACTTTAGATATACATCATTTTTATATCACAAGAAAGTATTTATTATTTTAAATTACAAAGAGTTGGAGAGTCTCTTAAGTGAGAGAAAGAGAGATTAATCGAGATATTTTTTCCTTTCATTATTCTTGAACTCTCCGTATGCACAGAGAAAAATGTATACTGTATTCAAGAAAATATTATTTGTTTTAAGTATATCATAAGTCTCTATATCCGCAAATATATCATAAGTTTACCACAAGCATTAAATTTAATTGAATATATTCTGAATTTTAGTAAGTGCAATATTTTAATCAAGAATATTAAATTAAAACGAAAATTTGATTTGCTTACTACAAGAGTTGACGTAAACTAAGTTTGATTTTTCTTTGATACAACTTGACAATATTCTTGAAGAAAAAATAAATTCTTCTTTTGAGTACATGATAATGAGATTTTCTTCATTTGTGATGAGCATATTTTAAGATTGTTATCAAGAATATATTCTTTGTTGAAGAAAACTATTACTTAAAAAAAGAAAAATAAACTGAGTAATCGCTTTTTTGGCAGTAGAATGATATTTTTCTTCGTTTGCTTTCAGCAGAGCAACACGGGCCAATCGGTAGAATTTTCGCCGATAGAGTTGAGTGCTCTGGTAGGAACGCCGGCGGCTTCGAATGTGCCGGCAGAGGAGGGCGCGGACATGTCCGGGATCACAGGGGAGGAACTGTTCGATCCCATGGATTTGCTGCGGGAATTCGATGCGGAGCCCAGCCAACCCACCTCCACCACGACCCTTTCCTCCTACAGGCGACAAAGGCACAACATCGCCGCCTTGAATCCTTTATTAGCGGGTAAATTGCGTTTATATGACATTATATTTGGTTTTTTTATTTATTTTTTTTATTTATACGACACACGTGCGAATCCGCCTTGACGTCGCTAGCGGGTAAATTGGATTTATATGACATTATATTTGTTTTTTTCTACGACATATGTGCTAATCGGGCTTTGACGTTGCTGTGCAGAAAAATTGGCAGCCCCGTCGACGCAAACGTCTTCGACGTCCATCCCTTACGCTTCGAGGGCGGAAATCAAGACGGAGAACATTCAACCAGAGCCGAGTAAAGGTAAGATCGCCTACTTCCCTCGGTTCGCTTCCCTCTTTAACATACGTCGATATGGCAGAAAAATATGTCGATAACGCGAGTCTTTTACTTTATCGACAGTAGTTTTGCGGAAGGTAAAATGCGTCTGCGAATTTCTTCTTTATCGACAACGGGTACAATCCTCTACTTTCGAGAAGTTGTTTGCTGTTTCGGTCGGGCAGATCGCTTCACACGTCACTCGCGTACCGGAAATTCAAATCGCTCGCGATTTGAGGGGGGAAACCGGCCAAGGTCCCGCGAAACGCGCGTCTATATCCGCGTTAGCGATAATAATATTTACGCGCGCGTGTTTTCGCGTGCAGTGACTCGAGAAAAAAAAAGAACGAGCGCGAATGTGTGTGCGATGGCTCAATTCGTACATTTTACAGTCGTGTCATAATGTCGCGCCAACGCGGTTTCGCCCTCGTTTCGCGATTTTGATGCTCGACATGGAAACGGAAAAGTGTCCCATTCTTGCGGATATCGAACTTAATCGCCTGTGAATCTGGAATTTGCGTATCCCATACGAATAGTCTTCGAGATGTGATATCCTTCAAGGACAACTTAACTTCTCGTCGGACTTCGATTCGCGGATGTTGAATTTTCAAGCAAGGTAACGAGATTAACTTTACAATATCATTGTTGCAAAATGTAGCTTTTTAATATAATTGAACTCTTTAATTGTTGGATACTTTTACTTTTACTTTTTTTTATATCTTTTAGAAGACATCTGAAGTTTAAAGCAGATAAAAAAATAATTGATGGAAAGTCGAGGAAGTTTTCATTGTTTTAACATGTTGAGTAAATTATCTTTTAAAAAACATCATTTTTATGGATGTCATCAATGGAAAATAAACATATTCGTTCGATATTGATATATCGAACGAATTTCTTCGTATACTTCTAAATGATAAGATTAATAAATAAATTAAATAAATAAAATTACATAAATCCGAGATACAGAGAAAGAATCGAATAGGTGGATCGTAGATTTTATTAATTTTAGATTCACTCTGTAAGAATCTGATTTCTGCTTAAAAATAATAAATATAATAAAGATTTCAAATAAAAAATAAATTCCGAATCTCGCGTGATAAATTTAAAGATTTTTCAAACTTGGAGGAACGTAAATAAAAATGATGTAACGTCCATTGCATATAAATATTGAAAACGAGATACTCGATATTGAAATATTTACGATCTCTGTTGTTCAAAAATGTGTGCGCAGAATCGTTTTGCAAAATCTCTTGTGGTAAAAATTTAAGTTAAATATTTCTAGAATTTGGAGAGATGTAAATAAAAAATGATGATATGTAGTAACGTCCATTGCATATAAATATTGAAAACAAGATACTCGATATCGAAATATCTGCGGTCTTTGTTGTTTAGAAATTTTGGCGCAGAATCGTTTTGCAAAATAATGCTAAATCTCGCGTGGTAAAAATTTAATTTAAAGATCTTTAAAACTTGGAGGGATGTAAATAAAAAAGATGACATGTAGTAACGTCCATTACATATAAATATTAAAAATAAGATATTCGATATCTAAATGTCTGCGGTCTTTCTTGTTTAGAAATTTTGCGCAGAATCGTTTTGCAAAATAATGCTAAATCTCGCGTGATAAAAATTTAATTTAAAGATCTTTAAAACTTGGAGGGATGTAAATAAAAAAGATGACACGTAATAACGTTCATTGCATATAAATATTAAAAATAAGATATTCGAAATCTAAATGTCTGCGGTCTTTCTTATTTAGAAATTTTGCGCAGAATCGTTTTGCAAAATAATGCTAAATCTCGCGTGATAAAAATTTAATTTAAAGATCTCTAAAACTTGGAGGGATGTGAATAAAAATGATGACACGTAGTAACGTTCATTGCGTACAAATATTAAAAATATTAAAAATAAGATACTCGATATCGAAATATCTGCGGCCTTTCTTGTTTAGAAATTTTGGCGCAGAATCGTTTTGCACCTGGACAATTCGCATCGAATTTCTCGCTGTTCGAATCTCTTCGACGCGGGCTTTTCGACGAGGCAGAGTATCATCGCGTTGTAATTTCGTCCTGACCGCAGCCCGCGACGAGTAATTACGAGCCGTTAGAACACGAATTGAAGTGGGTGCTCATCGTTGTTCTTTTCACATTTTTAGAAAGCGGTTGGAAAGTGAGAAACGAAACTTTCTAACAAAACTATTACAAATATAGCTCGAAATCTGCTTTGCGCGCACCCTATAATGTTGCATTAGATATTAAATATTAAATTGCAATATAAAGTGCGCAACGATGCGGCAACATTGTTTTCCATCCTGAAATAATGTTTTTTTTTTCTTTTCGCGAAAACAAAATTGTACTTTATCATCATTTGTTTCTCGTAGAACGATCTTTCATAAAAAACCGAGGTACAATCGGAATTTGAGAAATTTTTACTCGAGAATTATCGATTCGAATCATCCTCTTATTCGATGAAAAATTATGATAAAAGTGAATTTTCGATTCGAAAATATCAATGTTACTATTTCGCGCGAAGATCGAAAGACATGCAAAAAAATTCAAAATTCCAAAATGCGAGGGGACATCCGAGAATCATGCAAGGTGCGAAACTAAATTTCTACCTCTATTAAAGTATCGAGAATCTGCGTTTAACGTACATGTTGATTCTAAGCTTCTTACGTGAAAATTGACTGGTAATCGGGACGCGCGAAAGCGGAGAGATTAATTGAGATTAATTGAGATTAATTGAGGAAAAAATGTCCCGTGCTATCCGGCGGATTTCGATCGCGATACCTAGTGAACTCGTTGAGCGAGGAAAGCGAGCGCATAATGCGTACACGCTAATTTTCTGGCGCTAGCATCACTTTCACCGGCTACCCGGTGCGTAACGCGCGCAAAAAAAAAGCGGATTTTTACGGGGGACGCGCTTATTACACGCTCGATCGAGCGGATGAACGGATGGAGATTTTCACGCGAAGACGCCTCAATTTACTAGCATTTCGGTGCCGCTCTTTCTTTCTCGGGAAAATGCCCATGCAGCACAGACCATTGTTGTTACATTGCAGCAATATTGCCGCGATATTGCCGCGATATAATCGCAATATTGCCGGGTGACATCCCTTTGGAAACGACGAGGATGGACGGACGCGAGCTCACTCGCGACAAAACAAAAGTAGGACAAAGGAAAGTAATCTCTCGCGCATTAAACGTCGGAACGCGAGCAACTATATAATTCACTTTCGACTCGTTCCGTTACTGGAGCAACTATGGTGCAGCATGCACATTTCTTTCGCAACTTTCGCGATTTGTCGGATCGCGATCGATGCGGAACGACAAAGTTTGGAGCCAGGTACCTCGCGGTAACGAGATCTCGTAGCCGCGATTTTATCAGAGATCTCGCGTTTTATAAAGATTCAATATGTATCTCGGATTTATTTTGAAAAAATATCTGATCTCCGGATTTAATTTTAAATTGTTCGCGTAGATTCGATAAATTTGACGTCGCCTCTCGAAAAATTTTCGATTTTGTTTCCCACGATGCGAGATCTTCGGTAGATTCTGGTAGAAGGAGAATCTTGAGATCTACGGAGCTTAGCGTTTGCGCGAACGCCACGCGGTATAAGTCCCGAATCCCCGGGATTCTATCGCCTGGCGGATTCTACACACCCGCCGTTGGGGAATCCGTCGGGATTCTGAGCGGCGCTCCGGTAGCCTTCTCGAATCCGGGGATACCGCGGATTCCCGCTCCCGAAACGGCCCTCGTCGCGTCCTCGCGTCGGAAACGATCCGGGGAATGGAATTCGTCTCTCTCGATAACGCGCGCGGGACGCGCAAGTGCATCCATCCCCCTCGTCCTCTCCTCGGTTTCCCTCCACCCGTTGCATCCAGCTGTCCTCCGCCCGTTCGCTGCACTTGTCGCTACCCTCGTTCCCTTGACCCTCCCCAAACACATAAATTCTCTCGCCCCCTCCCTCGCTTCCCCGTCGTTCCGTCTGCTACCGCGCTCGGTTGGAGCCCCACGGAAATAGACTCGAGATCCGCGCGAGAACCGACTTTCTTCGTTTCCTCGCTCGAGCGAAACGAGCGCGACGATATCGCGTCGCATCGAGAATTCGCGATCGATTATTTTCGTTCGCGCGATCTTTAATTAATTGTGCTCGATCGATGTCGAACACACGTATTGCCCGTGCTACGTGAATTCCGAACAATTCCGATGAATGTTTTAATTAACGTGGCTGAGCATTAGCGCGAATATAATTCATAAAAGCGCCACGTTTTATTAAATAAGGAGAAGAGATGCTACATTTCTATAGGTTGTCTCCAAATTGTCTCCATCTTTCGTCTCGTTCTTCCTAAGAATTTTAAAAAATATACAAAAATATATACAAAAATATATATATACAAAAAAATATATACAAAATATATACAAAAAATATATACAAAATATTTAAAGAAATATATACAGAATATTTTAAAAAATATTTAAAGTATCTTAGATCACCCTCGCGAACGATCTAAGATACTTTGTAGCACTTGACGTGTTTGAGGTAATCATAATACGCTCTTTCTTTTAACGAGCGTAAAATACATATATATCGTTGATATTATCGGACATTCAACAGGAATTGTTTAATGTACTCCCCGGTATCACGTGTTAAGTAATCGCGTGGGAACGGACGGGGTGGAGATTAATCGCGAATCCGAGGGACTAGTGGGTCCGAGTAATTCTATGCTAATTGCTCGCGGTACTTTAACTCTTTAAACGCCCTCCTGATCGAGCCGATAACTCGTTTTCGAGCGATTCCACTTTCCGCGCGACCTTTTACGCTTTTCTGGGTTTCGCTCGTCGGGGCTTTACTTTGCTCGAGATGCCGGTTGCGTGCTCCGGCAAATCCCACGCGACGTTGCACTTGCCACACTTTTGCTGGAATTCGTCAGCGCGATCACTGCACAACTTTCTTGCCAACTTTTACCAAAGGAAGTCTCTCA